CTCCCAGTGTGTATCATGTATAGTATCATGTACTATAGTATCATGTGATTCGGATTGATTTGGTATGTATCAATGTGTATGGTATAAAGCATTATAAAGCCACCCACGCATGGATTGTACAACCTTCTTCATATGGGTAGTTGATTCATCATGATTAAGCAAGGTCGACATTGAGGTGAGGACCGAACGAAGGTGTTCGGATGCTGATGATGCTGGAATTTGGGATGCTTTTTGGCCACCCGTATTTTTCTTGAGAAGGAGAACGGTTCGGAGAAAGGTTTGAGAAGGGGAGCAAGGCTGCTTAGTGACAGAGCCTTTTCCCTTTTGAGTGGGGGGGTCTTCGGCAAGGACATGTCATGCGTCGGTGCACCTAAACCACGGGTTTGCCCAATACATGCAGAATCGTGCAAGCTCCATCACATGACCCAAATGATTCCAAACATACGCATAAACATTGATACACATTTGAGAAGGGTCTTCCACAAGCTCCACACAAGGCAAATTTGCTACGCAAAGGTCGGAATTCCAATTATAGATTCAAACGATCTCTGCCCTCATTTCATGTCATGCGCATGTTCCGAAAACCGAACAAACAAATCTCTTCAGTTCGTAGCTGAGATGTGCACCCGGCCAGCACATCCTGCACCGCGGATGGAGCCCAATACTCGTTGACGTCTCTCTGGTGCGGCCACATGTTAAAAACACACCTTGAGCTATCCGTCATGCTCAAGTGCCCAAAGCTTCCACTACCAGTACGTTGGCAATCCTAGGATCTGAGAAAATACGAAGTTTACTCTAGGATGTCGTAACTATGAATATTATATAGCTACGTAATGCAATCATCTCGATCACCTCGAGTGGACTTAGTAGCGAAATAAGTACGCTACTTACCCTGGTTAAAACTTAGTATATACTACGTATTCGCACCGGAGTTGACTTTAGTAGTTGAAAATGGGGGGTTGTATGCAATTGTATACTGCATTATACAGCATAAGCATTCTGATGCCTAATCGCACTGCAATACATGCACCCCACCATGGACGCCCGTTATATGGGCCCCACGTGCAGGAGCCAACGGTATGTGGGCATGATCGCCTCCTGTCTGGGCTGGGCAACAACCAAAACCGGCCCAGCAATCAAGGACCATATGGATCCATATGGCAACTGCATTGCCAACAGAAACTAGAACGGCTCAGAGTAACGATTACGGTTCTTTCGAGGCTCAAACGCACTCCCTTTGACAAATCAAGAAATGTGGGTCTGTGGCCATCTGTTAGCCATGTACTGCACCCGGTGATCATCCACAGCTGCCTCTCCCGCAGTGTGGCTGGGCCTCGGGTGACGATGACAGCCAGTATATGGTGACCTACCCTTACTAACATTGCCAAATCCCGCTGAGGATATATATATATATACAATTCAATATATAATATAGAAGTATGAGAGGCGGGCAGATCCTTGGCATCCTTGGTGCAACTGCTATCAATGGTGCTCTTTTTTTGGGCGGACGATGTATCTTTATGCCTTCTTGGTCAGCTGAACCCCCCTCCGAGAGCCTGGCGCCCTTGGGCCGACGTCGGCGTCATCGATCGATGCGCCTGGCAATTCGAGAGACCCCGGACGTGGCGGGGTCTCAGACGTGGCGGGTGAAACGAGTATCCCTTCAAACTGAGCTGGACATTGGCAAAGCATGGCAAAGAAAGAAACAGGAAGAAAGAACGAATGAGTATAGAATACAACACTCGGGGCTCCTGGTGTTTCGCTACGAACGGGGCGAGGACCTGCCTTCCGCCTCCTCGGCGCTGAAGGGCAAGGTGCGGCGCAGTTGCCGGCCCGGCGCACGTGCCTGGTGCCGGCCCAGCGCGTGTCGGGCTTAGATGGTTGGGCGAACCAAGCGAAACGCGCGCGCGCGTGTGCTACTGAACGTGACATGAGATGGACGTCCAAGGTCCACACTGGGAATGGTTGGTTGTTCTTTTCTTTTGGTTGGGCTATGATCGGGAAGAACGGCCTGGGATTGCAAGACTAGAAGGTCACAGCTTTTCGATTCGCTCATCATCAACCGCACTTCGACCGCAGAGTGTTGATCAAAATAATTCAAGTCGTCATTCGTTGCTGAACCCCTTGGGTCACCTATAACCGCCTGGACATGAGATGGTATGCCTTTTGGACATGAGAAATCGCCGGGAAATGACCAGGTCTTTGACGTGTTTATATAGACATGATGAATCGATTCACCATGCATAGCCATGCTTATGTAACAAAATAACGTCTCAAAGACATGCCATGATCACCTGCATGTCTAAGAACTCCCGGGATCGTCTTGTACCGTGAGGCTTGATATGCAGCAACCTACATGGCATGATCATCAGACGTGTACTCAGACGTGTGTCTTGCATCAGCGTGGATCTCACCCCCAAGGAACCATGATGGATGGAGCTTTTTCCATCGCCGACTGCGACGGCCACACGAAGACCCAGAACTCAGGAGTTGCACGAAAAAACATACCTGTGAAGACCCGTTGGTCAGACCCATGTGGATGTCATTGGAGTTTTCCATCGTTTCAGGTGAAACAACGCATCGAAACACAACGCAAGCACCGGTTCACCAGAGGTTCACCACCCGAACCACTGGACGGTTAAAGGACATTCAAACCGACCAAACAAAACCATGATCTCAATGGATTGGTTAAAGGCAAAGGATGTTCAAGGGAAATCTACCGGAAATCACGCCCCCAAACACTATAGGAACATGATGGAACATGTTCCCTGAAATTCGAGAGCGAATGAACTGGGCGACCCTGGACGTCCTTCCCACCTCAACCTGATGCCACCTAAGCCTCCAAACCGCCTCTGCTTTGTTGGCCCAATAGCGCTCCAGCAGCCCGTCGGCCACCTCCGAAGCGCTGACGGTCGGCGTGAACCCGGCGTTAGGGAGCCTCGTCGTCGAAGAAGTTGTTGGAGGGCATTTGGGAAGCCTTTGGGAGGGATGTCCGCGGGCGGGGTGTGCAAGGACGCACCCCAAACATGTGTAGGGTTTGGGTGCGTATATATATATATATACAAAAAATATATATATATATATATTGACGCGAGCTTGGTGCGCTTAACTAGTTTTGCGCCTTTGGAGCCCTGGGGGTGTGTATATATTATATAATATTTAGAATATAGATTCTAGATGTCATTGGAGCCCAGTGAGATCGACCAGCAAAGCCACGACTTTCGGGGAGATTCCACGCCGGCCTCCTGCCGGCCCCCTCCAAAAAAAGTAGTGTGTCATGTGCGACCACCTGGCAAAGCCATCTTCCCAGCTCTCTGATATCCCACTCTTTAGGCTGAAGAAAGGCGTTGGAAGAAGGCCGCGTGCCTTGACTACAGGTGTGAGCGCACGAAGAGTTCCTTGCGGCGCACGTCAAAGAAGTGTAAAGATGTGTGAGACGTTTAGCTGAGATGAGCGGCTCTGCCCTTCTGACGAGTGCACGGACTTATGCAAAATGCGCATGCCTTACCAAGATTGCACATGCAAAGCTGATTCTGGATTCTGTCTGGCCGGCCATTCCGCCGAACAGAACCTGCCAGGACGCCTTCATGACGCTGAACATCGTCTGGAACATGCGGTTTCTCCAACAGTGATCTGATTTTTGGTCGTTCTGGTCGCTCGGGATGCATGTGAAGTGATGAGACATCTGGGGCGACGGCCTCTTGGGCCTCGGGGGGGAGGTCCGCCCCCCCCAACAACCTCTCAATTCTATCTCTGGTCCCTTCTAGAAACCAGCCAAGGGCGCCAAGATGGTGTCCAATTCTTCTCGCCAGGTATACCCGACTGACTGTCCTTCGTATTTGCTGCAAAGGTCGTTGACCAAGGGCTTGGCCTGGGGATCCAGTGAGGAGATCATCTCATGGACCGTGGCTTCTGCCGCCCCATAGAAATCCACTTTCGATCGCCGTACCCCCCTCGTACCCCCCTCAGCCCTCTTGCAGATTAACACCATCCCCCCAAAACCACTGGGGTGTCAAATGGTCTTCCAGACGTGTCCAGACGTGTCCTGGATTGGCACCGACTCGACATCCGGGACCTTTCGATATATTGGACACCTATAGACCTAGACATCATGTGCAATCCCTCATGCCAGGTTGCCTGGGACGACTCAACGCCCGTATTATCCCACATCATGTTCATTCATGTTCAGATCAGCTGGATGTAAGTCACACTTCTGACTTATGAAAAGCGGGAGGCTCAAACATGATGGCGCTGTCAGTGCTGTCAGTGTAGCTACCTCAAGTCCATGCACTCCACGAGAGTGCAAATGAGGAACGAGGCGACCTCTTGGTGTCCTTCAGCAGCTTAAATAAGTCTAAGTTGATAGAACATAACAGCCGCAAACAGCTACTACAGCTGCTGAGCTGCTTCAAAATAGCCACCCTCTTGAAATCCCAAGTGTTGAGCCACCCTCTTCTACTGGTTGATTGGTTTGCTTCGCTTCTCCAAGGCGTTCAAAAGGACAGACTGTCCCCACGCCTTCCATCGGTTGTTTTAAGATGTCAGCCTTGGCGGGTCCGGGACGAGAAGATTCGGGCCGCCCGGACGTTCTGCAAACGGATGATCTCCAGTAGGTCAGAGGTGGCTGAGGCCTGGGAATGGTGGACATGGTGGGTTTGAGAGCGACAAAGTCATAGTCACGGCTGTTTGGCATTCAGCACTGCTTTCAAAAGCAGCGCTACAGGAGGTTTGAGGCCTGTGCTACTGCAACATCTATGACGCGGCATGTATGCATTGTAGAGACGCACAAATGATATTATATTAAAGCGTGTTTGTTGACTTTGCTGTGCATCATTGCACAAAAGGTCTCGCTCAGGCTTCCTAGCACCTGGACCTGCCATTGCGGGATCTATATAATTCAGCATGGACCTGTTGTTCGCCCTTGGCTCCCATGGAAAGATGATGAAACATGTGTGCAGGGTTAAACGCCTCCAAGCACATCCGCTCAATCTCGCCCTTTTGTTGCGACCCAAGGACTGCAATGTCTTCCCTGTACCATGCTATCTCTCCTCCCTATCCTCCCTTTTCCGCAAGCGTCTCTGGTCCGGCTTTTCATGCCAGGTCGGTGTCTTCGAAAAACTCGTAGATGGATGTGGGTTTCTCCACCGACCTCGACTCCATCTTGACCTCCTCCACCGAGGAGGCCGTCTCCACCGACTTCGCCGGTGTCTCCGTGACGGGCTCCGTCATGTCCAGGTGGGCGCGGAGGTGGTCCGCGCCGCTCTGGCGGTAGAGATCCTCCCAAGGATCCCTCAAGCCTCGGAGGACAGGTCGAAGCGGCTGCGGTGGTGTGTGGGTGCCAAATTGGAATACTAAGCCCGTGCTGAGCTGGGCTGGTCGGGATCATTGGAATCGCGTGGGGGAAAGGATGGGATGGGACAAGTGACTTTGTGGAATGCTTATACCTCATTCGTCGACCGAAAGGTCTCCGGTTCGGGGCGCTCCTTCTCAGCACCAGCGCGGCAGAACAGCGGTGAAACAACGGTTGCGGAGTAGGTGGCACAAGGGACCCAAATGCGTGTGGTTTCGATGGACACCCATCTAAAGGACGTCTTCAGTCTGTGCCATCTACCCTGAAACCACTGTATAATCAATGATTCAGTAATGATTATGAGATGGACACCCATCTAAAAGACATCTTGGGGGTTGCGCCATCTACTTTGCATAGTAAAAACTCACAACTCCGAACTTACTTGCATATGACCTTGCATCATCCAAGGGGCAAAAGGGCCACCGCGCGGTCGCTTCTTTCGCGCTTCCCGGCTCCTTCTCGGGGGGAAGGGTGGCGCCGAAGCAGCTGGTGGCTTGGAAGCGGCGCCGGTCCGCGTCGTAGATGAGATTAAACATCACCGAGCTACCCACAATGAGACTTTGCCCATCCTTCCTGGAGAAGAGGACGACCCGGTCAGGAAAGGGGAAATGGGCGATGTCATATGAAATTCGCAACTCTGCAAAATAAGATGGAATGAGCAGTGGTGATGATGCGCTCATCATCTCATCTAGCAAATTCGTCATTCCCAGATCTACCAGCTTGAATCCTTTTGTCAGCTGCAACTCCCACGTCGAGATTCAGCAGCCTACGAGGTTTGAGATTGAACGCTGCTTCCCTCTAGCAGGCGGGTTGCCCCACTATATTGCACAAATAGACCAAAACACAAAGCTGACCAAAAACCCTAGCAAAACGGTGGCACCCTCCGCGTAGATTTATCATGAAGTCATGATGTCCTATACAAACGAATGGCAAAGTACTAGAATTGTTGGATCATCATATTTACAGGACGACGAAATAAGCGGTTGATTAAAACTTAAAAAAGGAACTCGTTATGTTACATATTTTAGACTAGGAGGTATTTTACATTGTTTTAATCAAACGTTCGCATGAATGTGTCCCTCCCTACTGTGTTTCTTCCCAAAGAAACACGCTTTGTCGTCGGAGTTCGAGAATCCTGGAAACGGCAAGGGATCGAAATTCTGAAAGCTCAAGCAGGTCATGTGTTTTTTGTCTCAATCAATGTATTTCATCTGTTGTTTTCGATGTGTGTTTGTCCAATCTTCAGTGTTACCTATTGGGGGCGCGCTGGAAGCCGCCCGCACAAATTAAACGTGTCAAATGTAGCAGTAGCGGGGGTGCCACTAGTAGAGGGCTAAAGGGAAAGGAGAGAAACATAAGTGAGGCGACTTCCAGCGGAGCAAGAATAATACTTATATAATACACAATGAAGAGTGTACACACTGCCCCTTTTCTAAGAATAGGGTGTGATGGAGATCTCACAAGATAGGTTGTTTCCTTTACAAGTATCATCCACTACATGTTTGTCCCCAGTATATATATATTTCTCAATCCTCAGCTGGCTCGGACCACCACGCACAAAAAATAAAGGCCATGTCATGAATGTCATGGCGGCGTTCTTCATTTCAAACCGAGTTTCAAGACCTTCTTGTGCACGAAGACATCTTCCTTGCCGCCCTCCGGGGCAATAAAGCCGAAGCCCCGATCTTCGAACCAGCACTTCACTGTCCCAGTGAGGAGATCCGTGTACTGCTCCGCAGGGAGTTCGACTAAGGGCAACGCAAAGGCCATCCCCTGACCTCGACCTGAAGAGGGCGAACATGGCGCGAACATGGCGCCAACAGCAAGGACCGCACCCTGAAAGATGCGGCTCGAGGATGCTACGAACTGGGGTTGTGGAACATCCGCTGTTGCATTGTATGAGACGTCGAGGAAACGTGCGCACCCCATCCGGGACGTGCGCAAGAACCGAGACGTGGTGAGAGGTCGAAAAAACCCACCTAGCCTATTCCCAACACACTCCTTGTATGGTATGTCGACATTTTGACGGTCAAACACCCCAATGTAAATATGCCAACCATGACAGTGTCTGGGTATGAGATGCATGCCGCATCTGCCCTGGAAGAGACCCACATGGAACCTGCACACCACGTCAGGATGCAAGTATATTTATAAAGGAAAATAGTTTTCCAAAGGTCCATGTTCAGGTTCCATGTGAATCTTCTCACGAGTATACATGCAAAGCCAAGCCCGACAACGACACCTGAATCTGTGCCAAAGAGCGTCAGGGTTCCAACAGTCCACCAATCCGCTGTCATGTGCCGTGCATGACGACTGATCACTGATGCCTAAAGCATGCTAAAGCGAATGACTATTCTCTGATTTGTCTGCCACAAAGCAATCGTCCACTGTCACAAAGCTATGAAAGCAATGACTGAGACCTCCACCAACTCTACCATGCCGTGTCGCACTCGTTGATACTCTTTTGGGTCTGGTGTAGCCATAGCCTCTCTTACTACATGCCCATGCTCGTGATGCCGCGGCTCTTGAAGCTTCAAAACAGGCTGCTGTATCGACATCTCACTGCAGCGGTGCCAAGCTTTGCCCGTCGACCCGCGGTCGACCAAAAGCCGTTGGCGCTACGGAACTCCTCTCAACCCGGAAACCGAAAGGGCGTCGTTCCGCTCGGACATGACCGAACGAAGCGAAGCTGGCGAAGACGACCTCCACCGAAACGAGTGAAGACGACGCCCTCAAGACTCCAACGATCTCCCTTGCGGCAAAGCCCTTGCTTCCAAACAGCATAGCCAAGCCCTTCTGAGCGCTTCTGAGCACCGTCCGTTCGGGGTCACCGGTCGGGGTCTCAACAACAGAAACGACCAACCTTGTGGATCTCCATTGGGAGAGATCCCCCTCAGAAGAGGTCCAGGTGCTCAACGCGCTTTCAGAAACTGGCACCGCACCGATGAAAACGGACACGCTGGCTTTGAGTCCAACGCACCAGTTTAAGCTGTCCTTTGGACTTGCCAGGTCTTGGTGGCTATCTCATCCACCGGTCCGCACCAGAAGTCTCACACCCGGGCATGACGCGCGCGTGTGTAGAGGGCATTGAAATTGCGGCCTATAGTTTCCATCAAAACATCATAGAAGTGGATTGAAGACCAAGTGCAAAAGGGTGTCACTCTTTTCCCCCTCAATTCTAAGCTTCTGTAGAGAGCACCCCCCCCAATGAAAGGTGCTTCAATCCAAATGGGGAAGCTGAATTGAATTATATTAAACCCCTTCCCATTTGGATTGAAACACCTCTTTATATATGGAGGGTTTCTTCAACCTCTTTACTCAAAAGTCTCCTACATTGTGGTCCTTTTTCATCCTCTTTCCCTCCAGTCCTGCACCTCAGCCAGCCATTCAGTCCCTCAAACGCTCCAGTGCGTTAGGACCCCGACGAGCAATCCTCCGCCCAGCGCGGGCGGTCGAAGGCCTCGGTAGCGAAGGGAATAGCTGACACATGGGTGAGGTGTGTATTTTGTGTGCATTTCAATAGGGAGACCCTCTATTGAATAAACCTTCCATGGGGTCGTTGCCTGGGAGGTCTCCCTATTTCAATACACAAACACATGGAAGTGGGTTCTTTGGAAGACACTGTTCGTGGCACAAAGAGGCTTTTCCACTGGTGCGAGGTCTCCCGCAGGAAGTGATAGGAGACAAGGTCTTCATGATGCATGATGAAGGAGACGGGGTAAGGATGCGCATGGAGGCTGGATGAAGGTGAGAATCGCGAGGGCGGATGAGAATGAGGATGGGATGAGGCTGGTTTCGACCATCAAAGTGAAGTGCTTAAAATAACACGACGAGTCTTGGGAAATCTCATGCTACAGCATGGAGAGCTCAGGAAGCCCACGCTTCCTTTCGTGCTGGCTGGCTGCATCTGGGTGCCAAGCTCTGCTCAACCGTCTTCAATAGAAGTCCCTCAGCGTTTGCCAGGTGCTGTCTTCTCCAGGCAGGGAGGCCAAGAAAAATACGTGTCCCGCTGTGCATGATAAGGACTAGTCTTTTTGAGGCCCTTGTTGACGTCAACGGGACACGTCAAGAGTATAGATCCAACTCGAAGGGACACACACCTCTTCCGGTCGATGCATCACCTTCCATCTTCCCCATTCGCCATGCATCACGACGCACGTCTGTCCCCGTCTGTCCCCTTTTTCGGTCACACCGTCGGAACCGTCGAAACCGACGGACCGTCCGCGAGCGCCGTGGGTGTCGCTTCTCGGGTCGACCGGGCGAAGAGGCCGGTGTCGTTCATGTGGTACAGGTAGATGTGGTCCTGGACCGGAGGTGGTTGGAGGATCCGGACCACCGAAGCAAGGATTCGGCCCAAGACGCGTCGTCGGACCACCTTCCAAGAACCGTGGAAAGAAGTGGACCTGGTTTGGGTATGTTTGGGCATCCTTAGTCAAACTGGTCCGAGACGGTTGTCGAAGACGAACAACAACCAATGGATGGAATGCCATACGGTATATGTAAAGAAACATCTAGCAGCTATGGGAAACTCCTGTGCTCCCAACAGCTCCCAACGGCCCCGCTCCGAAGTGCTCTCTCCTGAGCACCCGCTAGACATGCGGACACTCAGATCGCTTCAGCCATTGGTCCAAGATACTGTACATACATGCACCCGTTTGGATCCTGAAGTTTGCAACAAGTCTCACACCCTAAAGAATAGAAAAGTATCCTATCTCACTACACTACACATATAACATTAGCTAATTATCTTTACAGTGGTTTCAGAGTAGATGGCACAGACTGAAGACCCCTTTAGATGGGTGTCCATATAAACCACCTTTTGGGGACTGTGCCATCTGTTTATGGGGTGTGCTGAGTCCTTCTGTCCAAAGCCTGCCGCAACTGTCTGGTGGTGGGCGAGTCCTTTGAGTCATTGGTGGATGGACTCACTCAGTTGGGATCCGTTACTGGATGAACCACATACGGTTGGACCTCATCATCTGGAACCCAGCTGCGGTTGCGACCAAAGCAGAGGAAGGAAACGCAGGAAGGTCTGGGGTGTTTTCAGGAAAAAGGTAACAAGGAAACACGCGCTAAATTTACTTGAACAAGAGCCGGAGATTGCCTAAGAACATCCAAGAACTCGAATGTAACCAAAGACAAGAACCTCTTCTTGTTGATGCGCTCCTGTGCCTTCACCATCGCTTTGACCTTGGTGTGAAATGGTGTGACAATATATACAGTAATGTGTCACTCGTCATGCTCCGTTTGGGTACAGTAGATGTACACCCCTCCCCCCCCAACATCACCTGCACAAACTCTTTCATTTCACGGTCATTCTCACCCACAACATGCATCTTGTATCATCTTCCGGCAAACTTGTCCTGAGAGAAGCTGCCAAACAAATTATATTACATCACTCCAGAACCACCAAGGACCCATGTTCGTGAAGAATCTGGGAAGTATCTAGACTTCTTTCATAGCTATATATTAGCTATATATAGCTATAGCCGCTTTTCGCGCGGCTGCGCATCTAATGTTGCATATCTAATAGACTCTGGATTCATCACCCCAAAAAAATTGAATCGGACAATCCTCTTCACATAGGAGGGTTATTAATCAAGAGTCTACATGACTCGCAACCCTCAGAGATCCACCCGGACGGACTTCAAACGAAGTGACTGTAACTCACCCGGACGGATCGGCACGAGCACCCGCACCAGCCGGATCGGCGCCAGTTGCAAGTATCTCTGCCCTGTGGCCGCGGCCACGAAGACCGCCTCGGCCGCGAGGAAGGATGGAGACATTCACTGGTGCTGGATTTGGAGGCCAAGTGCCCCCCCCAAGTTTTGGTTCCCAACAACTTGGCCAAGTTCTCAGCTTCTATCAGCTTCTCCAATCCTTTGCCCGTTTTTCACTTCAACCGGCCCAGCCCGCTCGGAGCCTGCGAGTTCCGGCATCTTTCGACTCTCCCGTTGCTAGACGTTTCTCGAGTCCCTTCGCCCGTGGCCTTGCATGCCAGATTTTGCTCCTTGATCAACCGTTCGGGACGCTGACCATGGCTCCTCCGGTCGGGAACTCGCTCGGTGTTCGCAAATGGATGGCAACATGCTTGTCCCGGCCGCATGATGGGTGTGAGATCATGGGCCGCATGATGGCAGCGGCCCCTGGAATCTACATATATATTCAATCATAAGAAAATATGGTGTATGTATGTATACATTTGCACATATCATGAAGATGCACAAAAATATAACATATATAGAACCCAAATGAATCCAAATGATAGCAAATTGAGCAAAGCCTTTCGAGCCCCAGGCATCACAGCAAAGGCTAAGAGCTCACAGATTGCCTGCACGGCCTGAGCGGCGCGTGGCGTGCCGATGCGTGCCGCTTCGGAGAGAGAGAGAGAGAGAGAGGCACTATTCAGCGAGGGCAAGGGATGGATCCTGAGAAGAGTCCTTTCTCAACTACTCAGCTGCCCCGCATAAGCTCCAGAAGGGCTCAAACGAGGGCAGTCCTCGTTGACGCGAAGACAGGACGGCTCAAGCAAATGAATCTGACAAAAGTTCCAAGCACGATGCATGTGCTATTCAAAGGTCACCCATATAGTGTGTAAAATACTAAGCATCTTCAAATTGCAGAACTAGCTTCAGGCTTTTGCGAATCATATAACATCCTTTATGTATGCTTCCGTCATGCCAACTTTTTTCAATTGCAATCTTTCTCGACTACCATGCCTATCAATGGCGACGACCATCGCACCGCTTTTGCTACACTGGCCGGTTTCCGCAATGACCTCGCCTCGGACCAGCCCTGCAGTGGATCATCACCGTCACAGAGCTGCTGAAGCTGCCCGCCAACCTCTGCAGCACTTAGAGCGGAACATGGGGAGACGGCGGAGCATGCCTCTGTCAGTTTCCAGGTCCAGGCGTGTTCTCGGACTGTCAAACATCTGTGCAGAATGTTCTTGGACCTTTGACCTTACAACACCAAAGTGAAACACCAAAACCCAAAACATACTGTCGCGCTGCTGGATCTGTGATGACAATCGTGGTTCAAGAGAGCTGCGCGAGTGAAAGAAACCAAAGGCTCAAACAAAGGCTTAGGCTTGAGATTTGGAATAGCTTTGTTCGCAAGCTCTCACACTTCTCGCAGGTCAACCTTTCACCATGCTCGACCATGCTCGACAAAACGTCCACATCTTGCAGCCAGGTGGCATTAAAGGATTCAGCAATGTCAATCAATGGCTTTGCCTGGACACATGGATGGAACCCGAGACTTGACCGGGCCCAGTTTTCCTGATCTTTCGAAATCGATATACCTTTGGCAGCGTGGTCTCAAACCATGGTCACCCAACAGGTCATCCATGTCGCATCATCCTTCCGTGGACCCAACTTGGAACCATCTGTGGGATTCAGTGGGTGTGAGCATATGTGAACCCCACAAGCACATGCCAGGCGGCAATAAAGTCCACGACTCCATGTTCGTAGAGAGCATCCAGGAAATGGGCACCTTCAGCAAAACACGGGTGGCTCTCACCTTGGAAGACCTTTTTGCCTCTCAAACACATCCGAAAGGAACATACGGCTACCTTCCTTGAGAAAATCATGGACGTGGAAAACCACCGCACCGCTTTGTAGTGGAAAATGGTCATCCTTTCGGGGCCATGCCATCATCTTCCATGATTTTGCTCAGGGCTCAGGGAGTGTAAAGGTTGAACATGGGGTCCTCCAGTCTAGGACGGCTGCACCTCGCCCTTTGAAAAACGGCAAGCCAAGGCCCCGTGCGGCTCTTTTGCGCCACCTGCGTCGGATCCATCACCTCAGGGGGGTCCATGGCAACGAGTCGGGCGACTTGGTGAAAGCCGGTGGAGAGGTTTGGGGGGGAAACCGCTTCCAACGCCCAACACGCGCGGAACCGGCGCAACGCCCTACCGGCGTGTTGTGCGCCCGGAAGGGCGGAACCGCGCGTCTTCCGGGTGGATCCCGCTCCGCAGAACCCAAGGAAGCGGCAACGGATGACGCAATCATGGGTGGATGTCCCGGAGAAAAACGCCTTTCTTCAAGCAATGAGGCTCCGAGGATCCTTGAGGTACTTTTACGACTACTATAACGAAATGGAATCCTGCGTCAACGTGTTTTATGGAATCCTTGTGCTGACGTTGCAGGCGCTCATGAATGGCAAG